CGAGCGAGTCCCCGCTCAGCCGTGGCTCAGAGGGAGCGTTTAATTACTTTAATTAGTCATGAGAGGAAGGCAAGGTCTTGCTCAAGCCGAGCGAGCGGCCAGGTTTGCCTGGCCTGGCTACACGTGAGGCTGGGGGCCATGCCACGGGCTCTGCCTCTTTACCTCCGAGTGCTGCTGCTCGTGTCCCCAAGGCAGCCCTGTCCCATGTCCCGTGTCCCCATCCCGCTCAGCTGGAGCGCTTCCTCTGCCCAGTTCCATGCCAAGGTCAGAGCATCCCCGCAGTGTCGCAGTTCCCCCGGGCAGCTGTCACTGCCCGGGTCCCTGCACAGGGACATGGGCCGGAGCGCATCGCTCTTGGGCCGGGAATGGCACAGGAACAGCGGGAGGCAGTGCTGGAGAAAGAGCAAAGGCTGTATTCAAGAGAACCACGTGGTTTATGTAGAGTGATATGATCCATTCTATTCGGTTGGCTACGTAACAAAAACACCTTCCTCACACACCGTCCTTGAGAAGAACAGAAAGACTAGAAAAACACCACCTGCAGATTGTTTATACTGACAAGTTATCACATCCTTACAACTCCCTGAAAGTTCTCACAAGCCGCTGTGACAAACGCTTGCCATTTCTGTCTCTGTGTCCCATGGCATCCGCAGGACCTGCTCAAGGTGTGGGAGACACGCGGGTGACACTGGGGAGGCGGCTCTGGGCAGGGATGGGATGTGGGACAGGGATGTGCTGTGGGACTGGGATGTGGGACAGGGATGTGCTGTGGGACTGGGATGTGGGACAGGGATGTGCTGTGGGACTGGGATGTGGGACAGGGATGTGCTGTGGGGCTGGGATGTGCTGTGGGGCAGGGATGTGCTGCTGGCAGGGATGTGCTGTGGGATGTGGGACGGGGAGGGGCTGCGGGCAGGGATGTGCTGTGGGACTGGGATGTGGGACAGGGATGTGCTGCTGGCAGGGATGTGCTGTGGGGCAGGAGGGCCGTGCCCACCTCAGGCTGCTCTGTCAGTGCTGCTCCAAGCTCCCCAGAGGCACCACCCAGCCCTTCTGCACACCTGAAAACCAGCCCAGCCAGGCTGTGCTTCTGGGGGACACCTGCCTGCTGGCATGGTAGCACTGGCATCCTCCCACACGGGTGTCCCAACACCTGCACACAAAATGTGAGCTGTGTATTGTTTTCATTTCAATTCTAGTACAGGTTTTATTTAGCCAAACACAGCTGACACTCCAGCATCACACAGGTTCTGCAGATCTCAATGCCACTTTCTATGGGACTCTTAAAAATGTAAGGAAGGGCCAGTGGCCCTGCAGGGATGGACCTTTTGGGGGTGAACACAGGCTGGGGCTGGGAGCAGCACCCTCCCCAGGGAGTGCACGGCCAGGAAACTGCATTGAACACAGAGATGACCAGCAAACTTGAGAGACTGCACCATTTGTCCAATTATCAGAACACTTCCAATTTCTGCTGCAAAATCTACTTCATCAAATCCTTTTCTCACAAGGATGCATTTCTTTACGTGGATGTGCATTTGGAGGTGAAATGCACCCAAAGCGAAATGTGCCCTGGCCTGGCAGAGCAGCACCTGTGGGGACACTGGTGTGGCTGCCAGCATGCTGGGCTCAGCTGAGGAAGGGCCTTGCAGGCTTGCATGTCCCACTGCATTCAAGCTGCTATCTCAGTGCTCAGAAGAAAATACATTCAAGTTGAGCATCAGTCTTAAATCTGCTGCTGAGCCTCAGGCAATGGGTTAGGCCAAGTAAAGCATAGGGATAATATAAAGGCATAAAGGTCTAAATGTCTCAACTTTGAGAAGAATGAAAGGAGAGGAATGAAAATTGGGAAAAAATACATTTTCTTCTTAAATTTACTCTTTACCTCTTACTTTACTGTTTAAATGGAGAAGCCACTGAGAGAAGGCCAATATGGGATCAAATTTTACTCAGTCCTTTTGGATGTACAGAAGGAAAATTATCAGAAGTGTGTCAGCAAAACAGATTCAGCACACACAAAAAAATCTTCTTGTTAATTTTTAAATATATTGAAATATTATTTTTTACCTGCCTAAGTGGTACAGCCAGATTCAGAAGGGAATCAGGCTCTTTTGCACCACAATGAAGCATAAATTATGTCAAAGTCAGAAATCAAGCAAGGACTCAGGGCACAGTGAAGTTCTTGTACAGTGAAAATTGGAAGGGTTGGCATTGACCCTGAGCAGAAATGCTGTTACACTTTTACCTGGTAATGCTTTATAGGACACTGTGATAATTTTTTATCCAGTGCTGCTGACATTCAAGGCTGATTAGCAGCAAACCTTCCCAGGGACTCCAGCCCTGACAGAGATGTGGGCTTCAGATTTGCTGCTGGGATGATGGACCTGTGAGCTGTTCCATTCCCCAGGGTGTCCTGCTGGGGCAGGTGGGCTGCTGTGCTTCTCCCCATCCTCTCCAGCGGGGCTGGAGATGCAAGGCCAGCTCTTGTGCTCTGTTGGTCGGGTTTAGCCCCAGAAAAGGGAGGCTCTCTCTTTTTGCACCGGGACTCCCGTGCCACCGGGAGGCAGGACACACCTCCAGCTGCAGCACGTCACAGAAAACATCCACACGCCTGCTGCTGAGGGATTTTCCAGGACAAAATGCTGTGGTGTGCTAAAAAAAATCATCATACTGGAGTAGCAATGAGTCCTTTTTGGTTTTTTATCTCACTAACCTCAGGGGAGCAAGAGGGATTTGGCAAGTGAGACAGCTACAAGAACTCCTCAGCAGTGGTGCTGGCTGTGCAGGTGCTGCTTCCTGCTGGTGGCAGTTGTCACACTGTCCCTTCCCAGCTGTCTGTGCAGTCCTTCTCCAGGGAGCCCCTGAGCAGCCATGCACACACACCATCTGCATGTCCCCATGCACACACAGTGCTGCATGTTTCCATGCACACACACCTGCAGGGGCAGAACAAAGAGCTGAGCTCCCCTTGCTTTGGATGAAGATGCTGCACAAGGTTTCTGTGTTTTGTTTGCAGGTTTTCTGCTGCAGTATGGTTTGGTATGCAGTTTGCACAGTCCACTGAGATGGAGCACATGCACCAGCAGCCACACAGAGATATTGCTATGGGGCTCCTAGCACAGAGCTTTGGATATGACTGCGGGTGAAAACTACTTCACCTGGGTCCATATCCTACCAGGGACAACTTGCCATAGCACCTCAGGTGTGAGAAATTGCCCCTTCTGTTAAAGCTCAGGTGTTTTATAGCAAAACCCACACAGTTCTAGGTGTCTGCAGTAGGCTCAGGAAGGCTCACTGAAGATACTCTCACCAAAATCTGCAGCCTGCATGTGTGCCATGGCTAAGAGGCACCCAGCATGTTTCCCTGCAGCATCCAGGAGCTGGCATGGTAAGCACACGTCTTGGACCCCACTGAATTTACCAAAAACAAGGTTGGGTGCATGGAGCTCTTTCTCTTTCCAGGGAACACTGGTCAGCCCAGTGGCAAAGGCAGCTTTGCCAGGTTTTCACTGTCCCAAATCTCCTGAGTCATCTGGCCCTTTCAGCAGGGCCAGCTGTACAGGGTTACAAGACAAAAGTTATTTCCTCAGAGGTTTCTGGTGCATCAAAAGGTCTGTGCCTGCTCCAGTCTGGTTCCAGAGGAGCAGCAGGCGTGGGATGAGAGGAGCAGATGTCTGCAGCTACAGGTGGGGTGAGCTATTTGCTGAGCTGGTAAGGGTCCCCTGCCCAGCCAAACCTGCCAGCTGCAGGGTCAGCAACAATATTATAATTACACATGGGTGCTGTCACTGCTCCAGTGCCTGATCTGCTTGCTGGAGAAATAGACCCATAATGCTCCCTACACATTATCCCCAGCACAGGGGCACCTGCACTGTTATTTCAGGCTGGTTCCAAGCCCAAGAAAAATTAATGGGTGCTGTGGGCTTCATCTGAGAGCTCACATTTGTTTCACCTCTCTGTATGCAGCCTGAACCACGTAGAGCCCTCTGGAGAGGTTCCCAGGAGGTGACAGCAGGGCTGATGCTGGCCAGCAGCACCTCCCCATACACACACAGCCCTTCTGACACCTCTGGAAAAACAAAGACTCATCATGAGTCACCTCATGTTTGAAGTATCTCACAACAGTTTTTCTTTCTTCCCCCAGCCTCCAGCAGCAGAGTGGGGAAATGCACACAGATGAAATGTTTGGGTTGTTTTTTCCCCTCTCTGTCATTCCTGAGTCACTGTTGAGCTATTGGGAAGTGAAGGACCTCAAAGCAAAAGGTGTGTTAAGTTATTTCCCTGTTGACTTTCTGGCATTCTCAGCTCTGCATTTTGAAGCAGGATTTGGGGAGTGGGAAGACTGTTCCACAGGTTTTTGCATCTTACTGCTGGAAGAAAGGTGGCTTTAGGGACGAGGTGATGAGAGAAATGCTGGGGATTGTGTTTCTCTGGCTAATGCAAGAATCATGCCTGGTCTGTCTCTCATTACACTCCTGGGTGCCCGGAGAGAGCCCAGGCTCTGCTGCAGCCTTCCAGGAGAGCTTTGGTGTTCCTGCTTGTCCATCACAGCTCTGGCATGTGCTGTTGACAGCAGGGTTCTTGCACCGTATCAGCTTTCATTTAGAAATTCAATTTTCCTGAGAGAAATTACTAATTCTGGAATTGAAATTCCAGATACACAGAGCAAAAAAGTGTAAATCACCCCGCGTCAGGGAAGAGATGAATTGCTGCCCAGCAAAGGGTGACTCTCTCTGTGTGCCATGGAGATGATCACTGGGCTTTTGGGGCAAACCCAAGGAGGTTTGCTGTCTTCCTCAGCAGTGAGGAGAAAGGCGAGGGTCGGGCGGGTTCCTCCTGGGCAGCGATGGGCGCTGACAGCGATCCGTGCTGCGGGGGAGGCCAGCCCCGCATGAATAAATCATGGTCCCGTCTCGGCACCTCCGCAGCTCGGGCAGCCCCCGGGGCCGGGAGTGCGGGCTCGGACTGCCGCTCTCCGGGCTTCAAAGGCAGGCAGCAGCGGCATGGAGGGCAACACGCCCCTCCCGCAGGTGATCCGCAAGCTGCGCTCCCAAATCCACAAGCTGGAGAGGGAGAACAGGGCCCTGAAGGGAGAGCTGCGGGGCCGCGGGCGCACAGCGGGGCCGGCGCGGGGAGAGGCGAGCGGCGGAGCGCGGAGATGGGAGCCCGTGCTCGGAGCGGAGGGACCGCCGGCATCCTGGGCATCCCCGGCATCTTCAGCATCCACAGCATCCCGGGCATCCCCGGCATCCACAGCATCCCGGGCATCCCTGCAGGGAGGCGGCGCGGCCGCTGCAGCGCCGAGGGAGCAGACAGGTACCGGCCAGGGAGGGCTGTCCTGGCAGCAGGGAAGGGAACGAGCTGCCAGCTGCATTCTGCTGGACTCCATGGAAGCGCCCTGGCCCCATTCTGTGCTCACACCAACCCCACAGCGCTGCATGTCCTGCTCTGTGGGCTTTTCGGGGTGCATATCCCCCTGGCTGAGCTCAGTGAAGTATTTTGCTGCTGCTCAAACAAATGGTTCAACGCAAAGAGTTCAGTTTGCTTAAGCAGAATTTTCTGCTTTGGGTTTTTGCAGGCACGGACTCTCCTCCACATGCCTCTCCCCTCTCTGTTCTAGGCAAAAAAGGGCCAACACTCTTAACCATGCCATAGCCCCTCCTGCCTTAGTCAAAGATGAGAAAATGCTACAAAGAATAAGGGGTTGGCTGCATACATCACACAAGATGTGCAGTTCATTTTTGCAGACAACGCATTTTGTTCTCGTTGAGGCAGAGAGGGGCCAATATAAAGGAATACATTCTCTTCAAAATTTTATCAGAGGAGAAAAATGGAAATATTCTTAAGTTGTAGAAGTCTGGTTGGGACTTCTAGAGGAATTAAAGCAGGATGAAGATGCAGGAATGAAGCAGGAATCAGAGCAAAATGTGGCTTGGAGAGAAGTATTGGAGAAATGGCCCCACAAGTTTTCATGGAGACAAATCTGTGTGGAGGAATAAGATGAGAGGCTGGATTTTCATGCAGCCAGAGGGGTGCTGTGATGAGCAGTGGCTGTTGCCAATCCCACTGACCCAGTAGCCAGGGCACCAGCCTGAAGGCCTCAGGCAGGGGCTGCTGGTGCTAGGGATGTCACCAGTTTGGGAAGAGCTCCCTGGTCTTTTGGCAAGGGGAAAGCTGTGGAAAGAGCTTTCTAACTCGCTGGCTCTTCCTCTCCAGCTGCATTCCAGGGCAAAGGGTGGGACCTAAAGCGGCTGGCTGGCCTCCTCTGCCTCTCAGCTTCACCACATACAAAATGGTTTTGAGCCTCAAAAAAGTGATTTAAAATAGAATGGTAGATCATTTGGGGTTGGAAGGGGCCTTAAATATAATCTAGTTTGAACACCCCTGCTATTGGCAGGGACACCTTCCACCAGACCGGGTGGCTCAAAGACTCATCCATGCTGGCCTTGAACACTTCCAGGGATGGGGCATCCACAACTTCTCTGGGCAACCTGTGCCAGTGCCTCACCTAAAATCTCACATCCCCTCTTTTAGCTTAAAACTGTTCCCCCTTGTTCTAGCACTATCTGCCCATGTAAAAAGTCACTCTCCAAAAATACATTGAAGAATTCTGAATTGTCATTTTTATTAATAATACTAATATTGGTTTATCCCTGTTTTTTTTTTCTGCTCCTCAGATACTGCCATGACTGTGAGACGCTACCCCAGGGCCTCCCCAGCTCCTGCTCCTTGCAGCACAAGATCCCACTGGGCTGGCAGGAATCCTCCAAGCACTGGGGTCCCTGAGGGGCCGGGCAGAGCCCAGCCACCAGCCCCTCCTGCTGCAGCACAGCTCAGCAGGGAAGAGGAGGAAGGGCTTGGAAAACCACCAGCCCCTTGTGTCTCCTACAGCCACTCCAGCAACATGAAGCTGTTTCAGGAGCATGTCTGTAAGTGCCGGTAGGTTTGGTTTGCCCTCTCAGCACCACCTGCCTGGGCTGCTCACAGGCTTCACCTAACTAGATACATGGATTTTGCTCTGGGTTTTAGTATGTTATCAGCAAAAGAGTTGTTTGAATGTGTATGGGCCCTGAGCACACTGGAGACCTCCTCGGAGGAAGCTGTGCTCCTCCCTGCACTGCATGGGGTTTGGCAGGGGTAGCTGGTTAAATCTGCTATAGAAAGGAGAGGCTGAGGGAGAGAGAATGGGGTTGAAATATTTGCTCTGTTAAAGCCAAGCAGAGTTTTGCAGATTGATCTGATGTTCTGACAAGCTAAGCTTGAAAGGGATTTTTAAACTTTGAACAAAAAGCGCAGAAATACCAAGGAGCTCTGCACTGTGCCTTTAGAAGTGTGATTACTGTGGCTCATGGATTTAGATGTATTGTATCATATTTCCCCTGTAACTGAAGCATTACAAGCTAATGCTTTCAGCCTTGAAAAAGTAGTCTGAGGACAGCTTCTAAATTAAGTGAAATGGCTGCTGGACCAGCCCTGAGTGTCTCTGCTCATTGATGAGAAGCTTTCCAGCACAGGACAGCCACCACAGGTGGAACCAGCAGTAGTGAGACTAACATATGATAGCCCAGCCACATCCCATTGCTGATATACCCACCCTGGGAATCCGTGCTGATTCCTGGCTTCAGCCCAGTCATGCTGTGCTCAAAAGGACAATCATCCACATGCCCTCAAAGCAGGTGTTTGAGCAGGGACAATCCAAGGCTCTGCCTGCTCGTGGATGTGCTGGGACAGGGCTCCAGTGGCCTCCACCTGCTGTGTGGAGGTACCTGTGCATGGCACAGCACACCAGCTTTCATTCTGTCCCCTCAAATCCTCCATGCCCAGCCCCTTGCACTCCCTGTGCAAAGCCAGTTTGGGGCCCAGCTCCCCTCTGAGAGGCTGCAGGGGACAACAAGGGCAAGCCCTCAGAGGCACCTGGGTTTTTTTGTAAGGACACTTCAGGGTCAGGCGTTTTACAGCAGCTGGACACCTAAATTTAGTCTCTGGCAGGGAACTGGCATCGTTTTGCAAAGCACCCTGACCCTGTAACTCTGGGTTTCTGTGAACCCCGCTGGCCCCAGGGACACTCTGGGTGCACATGGACACTTTGGGGGCTCACCCTGGAGCCAGCTCACGTGTGAGGTGTGTGTGGGATGGCAATGGCAAACACTGCTGCTTGCTCACCAGGGGAAGGAGCTTTCAGAGCAATGACACCAGCAGCACAGATCTGTTACATGGGTGCCTGGGGAGCTGCGGGTGCCCGTGGCCAAAGACAGCAATGATGGTTTTATTGCTGCCATCAGAGCTGCCCTGTGGAGCTGAGCACTGACCCGTGGGCACTCGCAGAGGTGGCTGTGGGAAGAGCTCTTCACTTCATCCCCTCGGCAGCCTGGGTGACATCCTGAAGCACAAAGCTTTGTGTTTCTCACACCCCAAAAAATTTAATATCTTTTATTGTCTTAATGGTGGCTGCTCCGTTATATACTCACGTGTCTGACACAGACACCCATCTTAGCTTTTCACCAGCAAGGTAATTTCTAGCAATTAGTTCAGCAGGCTTATTAAGCTTAATTTTTTACAAGGATCACATTTTTACTTTCCAGCATGCTGCTTCATGTCAGGTTTTCCTATTCTTAGTTTATTGTGGCTTCCTCACATTTTGTTCCAAAGCTATAATCCTGTATGTGATATGAATATTTTTGCTTTAAAATTAACTCTCAAGAAGTATCATCTTGAATTTTTATAGACTGCCATTGCACCCAAGTAATAATAAAAAAAAAGCACTGCTAACAAATCATCTCTAATTTGCATGTCTAAAATATTTTAATTCATATATGTTAAAGTATTATTTCTACCAAGGGATTCCCACTGTGTTTGGTAAATGAAAAAAATTATTCAATATTTAAACACAGGATAAGAGAGCTGAGAACTCTTTCCAGGGCTATTATACTAAAATTACCGAAGGGTCTCTGTGGGTGCACGTGCACCCCCAGGGTTCTGTGCACACACAGCTTTGTACACACAGGCCAGGCACTGACAGGGAGATGTGAGACTCGATGGAAAAAGGCAGATGCTTCCAGCAGAGAGCACCACGCTTGGTCCTTTGGGAGGGCCATGTGAATGGCATGACATCCTGCCTCCAGTAGCATGCAGGACTTGAAAGCATTTACTTTTTCCTTGTTGGGTTGGTGTTTTGGTTTGTTTTTTTTTACTTTCTCTGCATGTTTTATACATTTGTCATCCTCATAATGATTTCTCTTCCAGTAGCATGCAAGTCTTGAAAGCATTTGCTTTTTCCTTGCTGGGTTGGTGTTTTGGGTTTGTTTTTTTTTTACTTTCTCTGCATGTTTTATACATTTGTCATCCTCATAATGATTTCTCATTTTTTCTCCAGGGGTAAAGTGAAGGCTGTGAGTTTCCTCTTACCAACAGATATGTCATCATTTGCCGAAAAGCAAGTTTCTCTCAAAAGCCCACAAAATCAGAGCACGAAACATCTGATGACCATCACTGAAAAGGATATGTGAGCTGGTGAATTTTTAAAGGCCCATTGATTCCTGAGATCAACTGGCCTTAAATGATAGCTGTGTGTCAGGTTCCCCTCCTGCAAAACGCTGTGGCAGGGTGCCCACAGAGCATCACCCAGCCGTGTGTTGGGTCACTGGCCTGATGTTCAGCACGGAAATGGGAGCCAAACAAAGCCAGCTGGAAGCCCAGACACGGTGATGAAACCACACAAAGCAAAGGTGCCTGCACAAAGTGGTCTGTGTAATGTGTTCAAGGAGCCCTTACCTCAGGACTGATGAGAACAGGCTGCTGAAGCTGAGTTTGCTGTGTTTGTCACAAAAAGCAGAAACTCTGTCACCACTTGTGTTTGCTGATTCCCTTGACAGAAAGGTGTCTGATGCAAATGACAAAATAACTATCAAAGAGCCTGAGAGGTTTTCTCTGTAGGTAAAACCTTCAAACTTCACTAATACAGCAGAGTTAAGGAGATATTACAGAGTCAGTTAATGCTGCCCTGAATTTCTGCAAAGCTTGGCAATGTCCTTTTGGGGTTCACTTCTAACAGAGTATGGGGAAAAGTAAGTACTTATTGCTATGAAAGTGTGACTAAAATCTGCTTCTCACACAGCGTGCTCATCCAGCTGGAGACTAAAGGCTGGACACCAAGTCAAAATAATTCAAAACTGTGAATATCAGAACTTTTTAGGAATGGCTTCTCAGCTCAGACTAAAAATCATTAGCAGAAATTCAGCAAGCAAGTACAACATAACTGTGAGATAGAACTACAGACACCTTGCAAAAAATGAGCAGTGCTTGTTAGTTTAATCACACAAGTGAAGATAACATTCCCTGTGTTTATTTTGATTACAACTATTTATGGAATCAAAATACTGCACACTGCCATTTCTTTCTGTACAGGAAGCACTGATGATTGAATACTGTATAAAGAATACATGAATAGTAGATGTTTGTACAGATAACTTTAAGGAAGATTTTAATCTCATGGTCTACTCTTAAAGTCTTGAGTTTTCTAAGTTTTCTTGTGGAAGCAGAGACTTAGTAGAAAAAAAACCCTCTGAATTTTCCATTATGTTGTATACTTCTATGACATACTGTGTTTCTTTTTTCATTTTGAATTTCACCATAGTTTTTTATATTCAAGTGTGGTTTTAATATATTCTCACTGTTGAAGTAATAATTTCAATTTCACTGCTATTTATTTGTGTATTTTTATGTTCAGCTTGGATCCACACAGTGTTGCATTGTAATGTAAGAAGTAATGAATTAATGCAAACGAGGTTCCAGTTTGGAAACAGTCCATTTTAGAAGGCTTTACTGGGAAGGTTTTATAAATGTTTTAAGGAAAGCATCATTTGTGGGAATTAAACACTGCATAAGTGTTCAGTTAAGCACCTAAATTTAGTTGTTTTCCCTCAGGAAAGTACAAAAGTCTTTGAAAAATCTGGCCCCTGGACCTTTAAGGTACCCAAATGTTTACAGTTAAGGTTTTTACACCAGATTTAATTGGATTTGGGAATCCATATGCTTTAGAAAGCTTTCAAAAGCTCAACTTTTAATTTTTCTAAGCCTCAGCTTCCATGAAGCAGCAGTGGGAATTTCCTTCTCCTACCCTTTTTGTGTCAGTTCACTGTAGATATGTGACTGACACAAGAACTGAGCACTTTTGTAGGCCTAGAGGAAAAGGGGAATAGAAAAGGTGGAAAGGAAAAAAGGGACAGGAATCAAAGTAATCGCTGACAAATGGCAGTCGGTATATTAATGAAAAGATTTATTTTTGAATTATATTTTTGCAGTCTTTAGAAGTGCCTACAGATTTAAGAACACATGATGATGCACATTAATTTTTAGAAGCAGTGGTGCAGATTTGACCCAGCTCTGCAGCTGCAGGAGAGCCAGGTGGTAGCAGATGCCACAGAGAAACCACTGAGCACACCACTTTTACCACAGGACAGCATGAAGGAACTCACCATGGAGCACTCACTGGCAATTAAAACATCCCAATATTAAACACCCAGAGATTGCTCAGAGCAAGAAGGCAGGTTTAAGCAAAGCAAGTGTTCAATGGATCTCTTCTGGAGGAAGCTGAGCCAGAGCATGTGCTTATGAGGTGCTCCAAAAGCTACAGGCGTTCATTGCATGGGACCACACCTGGAAAACCCCTGGAACACCTCTTTAGTGGAGAGCAGCACCGATGGCTTCACTCTGTGCATCCTCCTCTGCTGCTCTAATTGCACTAATTGTTCCTCTAGACTGAGCTGCCCAGCTCCTGTCTCAGAAATTTGGAAAAAAAAAAAAAATCCAACCAGGTGAAATTTCATCTGGCTATACTATAAAGAGGAGAAGATGTCTTTCATCAGTCTTGGCTCTCTGTCTGGTGCTTAAAGAGCCTTGCTCTTGCTGCAGACACAGAGGTGGAAATGTGATGCTCCAGACTGTCAGAGAGGAGTAACTTTATCACCTCCTCCAGTGAGTTCTTGCCCAGAGTTCACATTGGTCTCATGCCTGCATCCTTAGTCGATGAATCCACAGCCAAAGGTAATAAATCAGTGTGCAGGGCACATCTTCTGTCAAAGTCACCCACCTATTCCAAGCTCCATTTATAGGAGTGAGAACACAATTTATGGCGCATCAAATTGTCTACAACCTTTATATCCACTGTATTTTTGCTCCTCTCTCTGAAATCCCTGACAAATGAGCTTCAATTTTTCCCTCCCATTTCTGATCAGGCCTAATCTAAGAATATGCCAGCACAGAAGTATTTCAGTTGGGCAGCCTCTGATAGCAGGTAATGCTGATCTCTAATACTGTTGTTTTCAATTATTAATTCCAGCACTAACAGTCTCCTTCTGCAGTCCAGAATTTATTTTTTTTCTTTCTAGCCAGGGTGAAGAAAATGATAAATAAACTTGAAATTCATTTGAAGGTCTCGAAGTTGCAGGCCTTGAAGAGTCCTTCAGTGTTGTGACAAATCTGATGCTTTGTAGCTCCACAATTTCCATGTTCTTCTGTGCACAGTATGTATGGCTGGTCTTTTCTACTGTTGGCTGCTATCAAGTACACATTATTCTCTCTTCAGGATGCAAAAATACAGGTTGTTTTATATCATTCTGAACTTCTACTTCCTAATGCCTTTACCCAACCAAAGATGAGTCAAGAAATTAAGCTGTTATTGCAGTTAAAACATAGGTGGAATGCTGCTAACCTTACATGGGGAAGTTGTTGGCTGTGCTGGAGTCAAGACAGATGGTCACTTCAGGGAATGTTTCTTTTATGGCAAGTGCTCATTTGAGTAGGAATATTTCTAGCTGGATGAGTCACCTCTTTCTCGATTGCTGCATCAGATACCAACACATGATTTTTACACAAGGATATTCAAAGATGTGGCACAGGCTAAAAATGCATCTTCAAAGTATCCTGCAAGGGTTTCTTTCTCAACTGGAAGAATTATATGGCCCATGTAGATGGATTAAAAAAATTCCTCCACTGCTTTATTTTTACTGAAAACTGTGATGAAATGTCTTTTTTTTTCTTTTTTTTTACAAAATCATGTGGTACTCATATACAAAATCAGTCCCATAACAGCAAAATGCACAAAATCATAATAAAACTTCTCTGTTTAATGTAAAAGTAAGAAACTCAGAGTAAAGTGCAAAAATTAGAGCGAACATTTCTGTTCTGTGGCTCTTCAGCAGCAGGTTTGACTCTTCCCTGGTTTGGAGGACGAGGACCATCATCTGCATGCTGGTTGCCATGGAGACTCCCATCGCTTTTGGAATCACAAGTTTTGCCTGAAAGGAAACACTCCTGCACTGTGAGTTTTTAAGGACCAGAGAGGTTTCTGTTTGTCAGCACACCACATACTAGATTAACCACCACATCTAAGCAGGTGGGAGGGAAGGCAGTAAAATATTTTCCAGTAATTAGCGACAACATATTTAGTCTGTTTAAAATCCACAAAACACATAAATAGAACTACAAGACTTGCTGCATTAGATTAGGTTGTTATGGCATCAAATCTGCTATCTCAGTATCAGCTACTTCAAAGGAGAATGAACTTTGGCCACAGAACATAAGCATGGCAATAAATCCTTCTGACTCCTGCAGCAGGCAGGACTGGGGACTCTCTTGAGTTGGTAAGGCTCCCCCATAACTACATCTTTGCTAGGAAAAGATGTGTACATGAACACTTCATGCGTCTGTCCCTGTGTTGTCTAAGGTTTATCCATTCTATTTGCACTCCCAGAAGGGCTCTGGGGTTTGACAGCTCTGTCAGCTTCCTTCTCACTAGTGCAAACCAACACCTGGGATTGCTCCAGAGGTGAAAGTTGTCTGGCCCTAAGGATTGTGCAGAAGGATAATGTGCATATGTTGGCATGAATGTCTGGCTTGACAAACTATGGTTATTTAGAAGATTAATATAAAGAACTTGCAAGATTAAGCCTCAGTTACTTTCTAGTTCTGTCATCTTTGTGAGATGCTAACTAAATAACTACCTGTTAAATCTCCAACTTTCATCTGATTTCTTCTTTTGAGGCTGTTTTGTGCATCCGTGGGGCCATCAACATACTTCATTGCAATAGCTGGGGTCTGGTCCTTCTTTTGCTGGGTCTGAGTAGCTGAAAGAACACAAAAGGACATTTAATTGGATTGTATTAATGTTCATTTGTTCAAGGAGGAAAATGTGTTGAGTTGACTCTACCTGGCTGATGAGAACTTGGTACAGTTTCAATCTTGCCTTCTGGAAAGGACTGAACAGATTCATGGCCAGAATCTAAATCTTTCATTGGCCTTCCCATAATCTCATTCTCAGTTGCAGATTTATTTCTAATGAGGAAGTAGGTGTGCATTTTCCCTTTGCCTTTTACTTCTATTTCTCCTCTTTCAGTAATCTCAAAATTCTTGTATTTTAGGCACCTAAAGTATCAGAAGCAAAATGACACATGAAAATTCAAGACAAGTAAAAATGACACTGATGTTTTCAAAGGGCTGAGTGATCAAA